GCAGCTGGTGCTACTTAACAGCACTTTAGTCTGCTGCGCCACCAAGGCTCGCAAAACCACTTGCAAATTCTTATTTTTATTTTTTTTAAATGAATATTTTCTGGAGGGAGGGAAAGGGGGGGGGTTTCAGCGCTAAAGCCCTACAGAGACTTAATAGACGAGGAGGTTAGAGCAGGGAAGAGAGGATAAAATCCAGACTTAAATGAAACGGGGAGGCTAATTATCTGGGGAACCTTTTGCAAGGGAAGGTGGAATAACCTTCTCTTTAACAGCAGGTCACCGGCGGAGAAGAGAGAAGGGGCGGCTGGCGTTGAGATGCGACGCAGACTCGCTCGTGCTGCAATCTGAAGAGATCGCAACCAGGGGAGGGGAGGGGAGGGGAGGGGAGGGGAGGGGAAAAAAAATAAAATAAAACACAACCACCCCGTGATTGCTTTTGAACATAAATGAAAAGCCGGGAACTTCAGAGGGCTGCAATGATTTATTCATGAAGACAGAAAGCTTAAAACGCTAAGCGGAGGAGGCTGCGGGGGGGGGGGGGGGGGATAAGCCGGCTGGGGACCGAGGTTAAGAATGCCCTGCAGGAATCTCTATGGTGGCAGGAAAATAAAAAGAGGTATCTTGAGCAAAAAAAATCTAACATTCAGACGGAGATGGGAGACGAGTCAACCCCGTAATAGAGTCCACAAAGAAGGATCCTGATTCTATTCTAATTCTAATATAGAATATTCTATATTCTCTTCTTTTCTTTCCTATTTCTTCTATGCTATTCTATTCTATTCTGTTCTGTTCTAGTCTTAATTCTATTGTATTCTATATTTAAATCTATTCTATTCTATTCTCTATTCTATTCTTAATTCTATTCTAATTCTAATATAGAATATTCTTTATTCTCCTCTTCTCTTCTTTCCTATTTCTTCTATTCTATTCTATTCTAATTCTATTCTATTCTTAATTCTATTCTATTCTATTTTTAAGTCTATTCTATTCTATTTTTAAGTCTATTCTATTCTCTATTCTATTCTTAATTCTATTCTATTTTTAATTCTATTCTATTTGATTTTTAATTCTATTCTATTCTAATTCTAATATAGAATATTCTATATTCTCCTCTTCTCTTCTCTTCTTTCCTATCTATTCTATTCTATTCTATTCTATTCTATTCTATTCTATTCTATTCTATTCTATTCTATTCTATTCTATTCTATTCTAATTCTAATATAGAATATTCTATATTCTCTTCTCTTCTTTTCTTTCCTATTTCTTCTATTCTATTCTTAAGTCTATTCTATTTATTCTATTCTTAAGTCTATTCTATTTTTAATTCTATTCTATTTTTAATTCTATTCTAATTCTAATTCTAATGTAGAATATTCTATATTCTTCTCCTCTCCTCTTCTTTCCTATTTCTTCTATTCTCTTCTATTCTCTTTTATTCCATTCCTATTCCTATTCCTATTCATCTAAATCAGGGGGTCTGGTTTACGACCACAGTTGAGCTCCAAAGTTCCGTTGCTAAGCAAGACAGTTAAGTGAGTTTTGCCCCCATTTTACGACCATGCTTGCCACAGATGTTAAGGGAATCGTTGCGGTTGTTAAGTGAGTAACACGGTTGTTAAGTGAACCTGGCTTCCCCATCAACTTTGCTGGTCAGAAAGTCGTAAAAGGGGATTAATTGCCTGACACACACCCCCCCCCGGGACACTGTAACCGTCATAAATGTGAGTCAGTTGCCAAATGCCTGAATTCTGATCACGTGACCGGGGGGGGGATGCTGCAACGGTCGTAAGCCTGAAAATCGGTCACAAGCCACTTTTTTCATTGCTGTTGTAACTACGAACGGTCACTCAATGAATGGTTGTAAGTCGAGGACTAGCTGTATTAAAATCAAGAAAGCTGGTTATCGTTTCTCGTTTCCAAACGCTGCACATCAGAACCACATCCTGGGCATTAAATGACTTAGCATTTCCAGATTTATGGATCTTTTAGGACAGAAATAAAAATAGCTATCTCTGGCTGAGGCTGATGGTATTTTTCTGCTGTAATTATTATTAATTTTTTTTTTGTTTTGTTGTTCTTTTGAGGGCAAAGGAGGAGGGAGGAGAGCTAGTGTCTGTAAATTATTTAAGAGGCAAAAAAGGCTATCTAGGAAAAGTGACATTAAATTCTGTTCAATTGATTTTTGGATCATCTTGCTCGATGGCAATGAATAATTTAGGCCGCCGTTGGAAAAGGGCTGCCTGGCGTGGGGCTTTTAAAAGCACCCGTCTCGGCCTCCGTTTCCCCTTCAAAAAGAGGCAGGAACAGGGAGCCGTAATTTGAGCTCTATAAATAAACGGTGGCTTGCCAATTTCGGCAAGAGATCGAACGGACAGGAGACCGAGCTTCCAAAGGAACAGCAAAAACATTTGAGTTCTTCTCCAAGGGAAGAGCATTTGATCCAGTGGTGAAATCCAATTTTTTTTTTTTACTACCCGGTTCTGTGGGCGTGGTGTGGCTTGGTGGGTGTGGCTTGGTGGGTGTGGCAGGGGAAGGATACTGCAAATTCTCCATTCCCACCCCACTCTGGGGCCAGCCAGAGGTGGCATTTGCCAGTTCTCCGAACTATTCAAAATTTCCGCTACTGGTTCTCCGAACTGCTCAAAATTTCCTGTACTGGTTCTACGAACTACTCTACCGGTTCTCCAAACTACTCAAAATTTCCTCTACCGGTTCTCCGAACTACTCTACCGGTTCTCCAAACTACTCAAAATTTCCTGTACCGGTTCTCCGAACTACTCAAAATTTCCTCTACCGGTTCTCCGAACTGCTCAAAATTTCCGCTACTGGTTCTCCGAACTACTCTACCGGTTCTCCAAACTACTCAAAATTTCCTCTACCGGTTCTCCAAACTACTCTACCGGTTCTCCAAACTACTCAAAATTTCCTGTACCGGTTCTCCGAGGTACTCAAAATTTCCTGTACCGGTTCTCCGAACTACTCAAAATTTCCTCTACTGGTTCTCCGAACTACTCAAAATTTCCTCTACCGGGGAGAGTGCGGGGATGTCGTGCATGTGCGTAATCTCCCGTGCTCACCCCGTGTTTGGCACAGTGGGCCTGGTAGGTCCGTTTTTCGACCCCCCCAGTCTCCAGAGGCTTTCTAGGAGCCTGGGGAGGTCAAAAGTGGCCTTCCCCATCTCCCCGGAAGCCCTCCAGAACCCAGAGACAGCCTGTTTCCTGACTTCCGGTGGTCTGTAAGGCCCGAAAATCAGCTGGACAGTGTGTGCATGTGTGCTGGAGTTGAGCTAGGGCAACACTTGTGTGCCCACAGATATGGCTCCGCGAGCCACCTGTGGCATATGTGCCAGAGGTTCGCCATCACGGGACTATGGTATCGTCCTCTGGAAAGAGGTCCTAAAACAGCATCTAGTGTGACTAAAAAGGCCAATTCGAGAGTGGCCATCCCTTCCACATGGAGGGCAGATACATTCCGTCCCCTGCCTGCTGCTTCTGCCAGCTGAACTGTTATTTAGGGATATTTTCAACCGGCGAAGGACGGCTTTTATTCACATACGGTTAAACCCGATTGGCAATTAACTGGCCAAAATTATTATTTGGCTTCGTTGTGTTCCACCACAGCTCCACAAAGGATCCGTGAATAGCTCCTCTCCGGTTATTTTTAGGCAGCTGAATTTATTCTTCAATGGATTTTGGAGAGGGGAGGAGGGACAAAGGGCGAAAAGGTTTTTCCAGACGGGCTGGGGTTGCCAGATTCACAAAATCCCACTCTGTAAAGGCGTGGGCGCCAAGCGAGAGAGGCTGCTCTGAAGCCAGACGAAACCTAGGTGTTAAATCGGGCAGATGAGGACGAGAGAACGTCTTAGGGGAAAGCCTCGGCTATTTTACGGAGCTTTTTTTTTTAAAGGACCTTAGGAATTCTGAATGGGAAGCCCATCCTCTTTGATGGGGTGGTTTTCGGTAAGAAATAAAGATATACATATAGATATATACATATACATACATACATACATATATATGTGTGTGTGTGTGTGTGTGGACTCACAATTCACTAGTTTCTGGGCTTTTTTTTCTTTTTCTTTTCTTCTGGCAGCCAGCAGACCCTTTGCTGCCCATTGGGAGACTAAGATAGATCTATTTCGGCCTTATAAGGCCTCATCAGTTAGTCACACCCTCATCTCATGTATTCTCCCTGTAAAGGTACAATATTTGTTTTTCTTTCTTTTTCGTAGGTTTTATGGGTATGTCTCTTTAGCCAGGTTCCTCCTCCTTCCTCCTCGGGAAGAAACCCGAGATATTAACTGTACACACATATATACCCGTGAAAACTTACATAGACACACACACACACACACACACACACACACACACACACATATTTTAAATTGCAACTTATTGATCCATTATTTCTCATTGTTGGTTTGTCATACTTCACAAATAAAATATAATTTTAAAAAAAATTAGAAAGCAACCTTTAAACATTGCCAGTAAAGACTATTTATCTATCCATCCATCCATCCATCCATCCATCCATCCATCCATCCATATCTGTCAGTCTATCTATTCATTATATCTATCTATCTATCTATCTATCTATCTATCTATCTATCTATCTATCTATCTATCTATCTACCTACCTACCTACCTACCTACCTAGCTACCATCTATCCATCCATCCATCTGTATCTGTTTGTCTGTCTGTGTGTCTGTCTGTCTCTGTGTCTACCTAGACATCTTTCTTTTCTTCTTTCTTTCTTTCTTTCTTTCTTTCTTTCTTTCTTTCTTTCTTTCTTTCTTTCTTTCTTTCTTTCTTTCTTTCTTTCTTCCCATCCATCCATCCATGCATCTATCCATCCATCCATGCATCCCATTTCTATAAGGCTGCTTGCCTCTACAGGAATCCTGGGCAGCATACAACACTACAAACAGCACAGAACAGAGAACCACAAAGAGGAAAAAAAAGCGGTTCATTTAAATCTGCCTTTAATCATTAATCATTACCTTGATAATGTTTACCAAGTCCGTTTGATAGTAGCGGTCTTGGTGCGCGTTGGCAGCTGCTAACGTGAGAAGATACTCATTCCTTGCATGAGTAGCTTTGGAGTTACACTCAGACCGGCGTGCTTTTAACTGGACGAGTAAAACAAAATTAGGTAAGAAATTATAACAATATACAGTAGTGGCCAAAATTGTGGAAACCTTTTTGGGAAAAGTGTATTTTGGAGGTTTAATGGCTAATCACACCACTTTTTTGGGGGGGGGGGGAGTTTCAAGATAATCCTATTCCACTGCTGGAATGGCCTGGGAATAGCCCAGACCTTAACCCAATGGAAAATCTGTGGAGCCGACTCAAGGAACTTGTGACCCAGCAATAAAACCCAGTTAATAGAAGCAATCATTCCATCTTGGTTTCACATGATAACAGCTGCAGAACTAAAAGACTTGATTCACTCCATGGGAAGACGTTGTAAGAATAGAGTAGAGTAGAGTAGAGTAGAGTAGAGTAGGGTAGAATAAAATAGAAGAGAAGAGAAGAGAAGAGAAGAGAAGAGAAGAGAAGAGAAGAGAAGAGAAGAGAAGAGAAGAGAAGAGAATTCTTTATTGGCCAAGTGTGATTGGACACACAAGGAATTTGTCTTTGGTGCATAGACTCTCAGTGTACATAAAAAAGAAAGATACGTTCGTCAAGAATCATAAGGTACAACACCTAACGATAGTCATAGGGTACAAATAGCAATCAGGAAACAATATCAATATAAATCGTAAGGATACAGGCAACAAAATGACAGTCATAATTAAGGCTGTAATTCATGCTAAAGGTTACCCAACTAAGTATTAACTAACATGGTGACAGTTTTTGCATATCTCATTTTTTCTATGGTGATCATTTTTGCATATCTCGTTTTTTTCTACGTGTTTCTGTTTTCTTCTTTATACTGTAACTGCTATTCTAATAGCAAATCCTTCATCAAAGTTATTGCATTACATTCTTGATTAAACTATCTTTCCATTAATGGATATAATATGGTACTACTCCAAAAAAAAAAAAAAAAAGTGGTGTTATTAGCTAGTTTTAGAGAATACACTTTTCCCAAAAGGTTTCCACAATTTTGAAGATTGCAAAGCAATTATTTTAATAAGAAGTGGATAGGTCGCAAATGACTACTTCTTTCTAGAACGCTGCTTAAATGTAGGCAAGGAAGCTAAATAATACACACAGCAGTTTAGAATCACGACTACAGCACCTTTTGTACAGGTAGTCCTCGACTTACGACCACAATGGAGCCCAACATTTCTGTTGTTAAGCGAGACATTTGTTATGCGAGCCATTTTACGGCCTTTCTTGCCACAGTTGCTAAGTAAATCACTGCAATTGGTAAGCCAGTAACACGGCTGTTAAGTGAATCTGGCTTTCCCCCTTTGACTTTGCTTGTCAGGAGGTCGCAAAAGGGGATCAGCGTACCCTTGGGACACAGCAAGGTTCATAAGTATGAAACAGTTGCCAAGCGTCTGAATTTTCATCAAGTGACCGCAAGGGATGCTGCAATGGTCGTAAGTGTGAAAAACGGTCATAAGTCACATTTTTCTGTGCCGTTGCAACTTTGAACAGCTACTAAGTGAGTTGTAAGTTGTAAGGACTACCTGTGTAAGTTGAGGACTACCTGTGATATAGAAAGCTGTTTTAGAGTTTCGACAACAATGTTTTTTGCACTGTGTCTCCACTGCCAGACATTACACAGCTTTAAAATGGTAACTGTTAGGGAAATAATTATTATCTACCTTGTTGGATTGGCAATATATAAACCCTCAATATAGCTTTAAGACTGCTGAATTGTATCATACTGTGTCCTGATTGGTTAGCTCTGTAGCCAATCTCCTTAAGAGGGAGCCAGAAACATGGTTTGTTTCTCTTTGCTGTTCTTGCTCTCTTATATCTCTGTATGCTACTGTTTGCAAATCCAGAATAACTGTTTATTGTGAATGACTACGACGACTGGTAAGAAGACTTTGTTATTGGATTATCCCTGGACTGTTGTTTTGGCTATCTCCTGCTTTACATGTGTATGACCTGGACTGTTTATTGGACTGTGCCTTACTATTTCCTGAAAGTAAACACAATTCAGTGTATCTGTGTGTTGGCTGTGTTTATTCGTTAACTACTCTCAATCGCTTTCATGTGCACACCCTTGCTACTCAAGGGTTACTCTGCGAATTCCTTAACCGTAACGCATAACTTACTTTGATACTTACTTTTACACTTGCTTTCTGTAAGCTTATCCTCGATTGAAAAAGACTAAGTTTTGACCTGCAAACAAAACAAGCCACAGAAAAATAAAGTTATTTCTGGTGAACAGGCCGGAAAATCTGTACAACTGACCTGGTTATTTAGAAAGCGACGTGTTATTATTATTATTTTTTTCTATTTCAAAAGTGAGATTGAATGGAGAAATACCAGAACATTCTATGTTGTAGCCTGTCGGCCTCCAGCCCCTCCAGAAGCCGAATCAGAGGAGGAGGAGGAAGAGGAGGAGGCGTGGGAGTCAGGATCAGCATCAGGGCAACCTGAGAGCTCCGAGGGGGAAGAGGGAATGGAGCTGGCACAGAGAGGGAAACAGAGGCAGAGCCTGGGCCGTCCGTCAGCTCTCAGATGGAGAGTCAACAGCCCCCAGGTCTGGAGGTGGCTGATGAGGAGGAGGAGGAACAGCTGGGTCCGGTGCCTGACACACAGAAGGCAAAGAAGAGGAGAGCAGTGGAAATCTATGGGCTGGTCCTTGGGATGGAAGAGCCACCATTGCTAGCGAAGCCCCATCCTAGCTCTGGGGATAAAAGGAATAGAATAGATGCCTGAATAGATGGAGCAGACAACTACCGCGTTTCCCCCAAAATAAGACCCTGTCTTATATTTTTTTTGAACCCCGAAATAAGCGCTTGGCCTTATTTTCAGGGAGGTCGTATTTGTTGCAATATTTTCAGGATCAGACTCAATAAAGATAATAGGAGTTAGAGCTTTAAATATATTTCTTTTTAATTATGATAGGCATTCTATATTCACTGAATATTCAAGGTAGAAGCAGCGAGAATGGTGAGGGTGGCTCCTTATATATACAAGGGGTGGAGCTAGGAATGGGAGTGGTAAGTTATGAATACATTAAAGTCCAAAGAATAAGTTAACCTCTGATGTTCCATATATACATTATTTACACATTGGAGAATAAGGCATTTACATCTGACAAATCCCCCTCTAAATGCCGGTTCGTTACACAACACCAATTACATTCTGATTCAGGACAATATAATACATATAATTTAGAAGTTAAATATTTGTGTTGTTTAGAAGGTAAGGGTTTTGTTAATATGTCAGCTAATTGTTCAGAAGTATCGCAATGTATTGCTTTAATGAATCCGTCTTGGGACAGTTGTCTCACATGCTTAAACTTTATATCAATATGCCTGGACCTTTGTCCAATTGCATCGGATCTGGATATTTCAATGGCCGCTTTATTGTCTTCATGCATAATAAATGGTAAAGTGGGTTTCTTCCAAACATCAGTGATCAGATCATTGAACCATACAAGGTTATTTGCAGCCTTGGACAAACAAACATATTCCGCTTCTGTAGTAGAAGTGGCTACTAGTTCTTGTTTACCAGTATACCAGTAAACTGGACAATCATTCAATAGAAAAACATAACCAGAAGTACTCTTTCTGCATGATGTATCACCAGCCCAATCTGCATCAGCATAACAAGTAATTTTTGGTTCTCTGTCATTATTGGGTTCCAACATTAAACAAAAATCTAATGTACCCTTCAGATATCTTAGAATTCTTTTGACAGCTTCCCAATGATACAAGGTTGGTTTACTAACATATCTTGACAATAGATTGAGAGGTAATGCAATATCTGGCCTAGTCCAATTAGATATATAGAGGAGTGAACCTATAACTGATCTGTAAAATGTGTTGTCATTAAACTCAGGGGAAGATTCATCAGTGTTTCTAAGAAAATCAGTTTGCATAGGGGTGTCACAGGTTTTGGCATTATTTAAGTTACATTTGTTTAGGAGTTCGATGATTTTATCTTTCTGTGTAAGTTTGAATCCCCTTTTAGTTTTGTTAATTTGCACACCAAGGTATTTATTCACTTTACCCAGGGATTTCAGTGAGAAGTGTTCATTTAACTTATTTACAAAGATTTCCCTGCTCTCTTTATGCTTTCCAATGTATAAAATATCGTCCACGTAAATTAATACAAATTCAATATGATCATTACTCTTTTTTACAAAGAAACAGTTATCGGCAGTGGTGGCGTTGAAATCCATGGTCTTAAGTACTTTTACCAAGCAATCGTACCATCTTTTGCCGGATTGCTTTAATCCGTACAGACTCTTATTTAATAACCAAATTTCGTTCTTATTAGTGTATTGACTGTGTGGTGCTCTTACATATATTTCCTTATCTAATTTTGCATGTAAGTATGCGGTCTGTATGTCATATTGGAATACGTCCAGATTGAGTGCAGATGCTACTACAAGGGCTGTTTTGACACTCTCTGTTCTCACTGTGGGTGAATATGTATCAGTATAGTCTTCTGGATATTTTTGTGCATAGCCTTGTGCAACTAGTCTAGCCTTGTATAAGGTATTGCCTCCTTCTAAGTTCTTAATTTTATAAATCCACCTGGTACCTATAATTGTTTTATCCTTAGGTGCGATCGCAGGTGTGAATACATTCAATCCTTGTAAACTTTCCATCTCTTTTTCCATAGCTATTTCCCATTTTTCTCTTTCTTCATGTGGAAGTTTCAATACTTCTTCATATGTATTAGGTGTTATTTGTTCTCCATTCATATGCATTATGTAATCTTTGTATTTATTTGGTATTTGGTTTCTATTGTTTCTAATAGTTCTTTCAGGCTTGCTATGGTTATCATGCAAATATCTAGCTTCCTTTTTTGTTAATGTGTCTGTCTTTATTTTATGCTGACTATTAGTCCAAGTTTTGGTTTTGTTCTTACTTTTGTTAATATTTTGATTTTCTGTTGTTCCTTCCTCGCAAGATATCGTATCTTTACATTTATTAGGGAATATTTCATTAAGGTGCAATTTTGACCAATTGGCCTGTTCATGGAACACAGCTGTTCTGGATACTATAAATTTGTTATTACCATCAATGAATCTGTACCCTTTGGTTCCAGTTTCGTATCCCATGAATCTTAATCTCCTGGATACGTTTTCTCCCTTTCTCCTCAATTGTTTAGGTATGTGTACGTCTGCAGTGACTCCAAATATGTGCATGTGTGATAATTTGGGTTTTCTATTGTACATCACCTCATATGGTGTCTTATTCACAATACTGGACCAGGTTCTATTTTGAGTGTAATTTGAATAATGTAATGCCTCTGACCAAAATTGTTTGCCTAAACCAGCATCCTCTAATGTGCACCTAATCATGGTTTGTAGTGTGGAATTTTTCCTCTCTGCAACTCCATTTTGAAATGCTGAAAAAGGATTGGACGTGAAATGTAACATTCCTCTATCCTTTAACCATTGGGAGAATTCTTTAGACATGAACTCACATCCCCTATCAGTCATAATTTGCTTTATTCTGATATTATGTTGTGTTTCTATACGTTTGTAGAATTCCTTAAATTTCTGAAATGTTTCATCCTTGTGCTTTAATGTGTAAACAAAACCATATCGGCTGTAGTCATCCACTATTGTTAGGAAGTAACGTTTTCTATAGGTAATTGAGGGACTTAATGGACCAACTAAGTCCATATGTACCAAATCAAAAATATTGTTAGTTGATCTGTTAGATTTTTTTGGTCTGGGACTGGTTTTTAGTTTGGTGGATTTACATACTGAGCATTCCAAATAATTTTCACAATTTTTTATTTTGACACCTTCTGCGTGTTCAGTCATTTTTTGTACTACAGGAAAGCTTGCATGTCCTAACTTCCTGTGTAAGATGTGAGCACACTCATCATGAATTGGTTTACCTATTTTTGGTTTCTTTTCCTTGTATGTATTTTTGTGATCATGAGTTATTCTACACTCATCATTGTCACTGTTACTGACATTTTCATCATCTGCTTCAATACAATCTTCCATATTTGAATCAATGTTATGTAAACATCTTTCTTTAGTTATCAGATAGGGTAGACCTCCTTTTATCATTACAGTACCTACATTTGTTTTGTTCTTTTCTATAGTTGCTTTTCCCTTTGAGAAAACTATATTGATATCAGATTCTCTGCTTAATTTTATGGCACTTAGTATGTTGTGAGGTATTTCTGGGATTAATAATACCCCCTCTATTTTCCCTAGACCAGGCAAGGTCACATTTCCTTTGCCTAGTACTTGAACCTTTTCTTGATTAGCTACCTTTATCACAAACTTATCTTCTATAAATGAAGATAATATACTTTTGTTGTTGGTGGTGTGATTTGTTGCACCAGAATCAATAAGCCAATTGTTATTCTCATCCTGCTGTGTTCTGGTGCTGTCTTGTTTATTTAGCCCATTCAGTGACCCAGATTTCCTCTCTTTTGAATTTTCTCTACCCCCTCTACCTTCTTTGTAATTTGGTGGACTTCTATATTTGTGTCTATCTGTGGAAGATTGTCTGTAATTATATTTGCTCTTATATTCTGGCCTATGTCTCTCTCTTGAGACTTTGGGGCAGTCTCTTCTACTATGTTCCCTGGATCCACAATTGTAGCATCTAAAGGCCTCATTATGTTTATCTTGAAAGACTACTTTCCTAAAAGGTTTGTGGTCTGTTTGGTTACTGGATCGATTTTTTCTTGAATTGTCTTCTGCTATCAATTTGTTAGATAGGCTTTCTATGGATAAATATCCCAAATTAATGGTATCTAAGTGTGACATAAAGCTATCCCATGATGGATCAAGTGAATTGATAATAACACTTTTCATTGTTTGATCTGAAATCACTTCCCCCCTCAATTGTAGCTCAGCTCTTATTTTGTTTAGATTTATCAAATGCTCACTTATAGAAACCCCTGGTTTTACTCTAGAGGAAAAGAAATCCTTAGACATTCTTGTGGTTGTAGCTACGCTATCGCTGTGAAATAGATTAAACATGCATTGAATTATTTCTGATACTGTTAGGTTTGGTTTGATGCTATGATACATTGCAGGAGACACGCTAGATATTATTATGAAAAATGCTCTATGATGTAAACAATCTATTTTTAAGGTCCAAGGTCTTCTTGGAGGGCTAGTTATAAAGAATAGTAAATTTTCTTTCATGAAAATAACCTGAAGCTGTTGATACCACTCTTGTAAATTAATGCCATCAATTCTAAGTTTTGGGAAGTCACTGGGTAAGTTACCTACATTATTCTGTCCATTACTTACAACCTGGGGCAGTCCGTGATCTCTCAAGTGCAGGAAATTACAGAACGGCATTGGGATGCTTGCAATGAGTCTGCGCGGTTCTCTGGCCAGTTCAAGTCCTTCTGGGTCGTCTACGTAGTTTCGCACATGCGCGTTGCTCATTTCTTCTTTGGTGGCGTCGTGGAAGGTTCCCTCCCTCTCAGCTCTCTCGATCCGCTCCTCCTCAGATGAGTCGGTCTCTGGCTCGGTTTTTGGGGTTCTGGTGGTGGCGACGGTTCTTTTCTTCTTTTTGTGTGCGTTGGCATTCGATCTTGTCTGTGGTGTAGGGCGAAATCGGCATGGCTCTCTGGGCTCGGGCGTCGTCGCTTTCGAAGTCAGGATGGGAGCGTGCAGGTCTTGAGTCGCCGGTTTGATTTCTTGCTTCTTCGTAGATGTCTTGGTAATTTTCAGTCTTGGCCCAAAAGCAGCAAAAAGCGTTTTCATTGCTGATTTTACTTGAGATTTTGTTAAATCGTCTTCACTTTCTGATTTTGAATCATCTGAAGAGTTTGAGACTTCTTTCTCACTTTCTTCGTCTGATAGTGTTTTTCGCGCCAGAAATTTTGAACTGAGCGTTTTGATTGGCTCTGCTCCATTCTCTTTTGAAGTTCGTTGAAACCAAGATGGCTGCCATTCAAAATTTCGCGCGGGATCACATCTTTTCTTTTTAACAACTATTTTCTCAGTAGTCATCTCACTTACGGTTTTTTGATCTTTGGGTTTTTCTTTAATGACGTTTTTCTCTCTCGCTGCTCCGCTGTTCTTCAGCATCTCCTGGAGGTCCGCGATGAGATTTTCATCATTCTTTTGGCTTTTTAGTATCTTTAATATCTCTGACCTGAGTTCGTTATTTTCTATTTCGATTTCTTTCTGGTCATTATTTTCACTCATTAGTTCTTCTTCTCCAGTGGTGTATTCTTCGGATTCTCTCGAAATCGCATTGGTGGATTCGTTGGTCATCTCTTGATCAGTTTCTATTTCTTTGCTGTAGGCCCTGGTGTTGGGCCTATCTTTCTTGGACATTTTTAATTACTTATTGAGTCAATTAACCATCCTCTGCTACCAGCTTGTTGCAATATTTTCAGGATCAGACTCAATAAAGATAATAGGAGTTAGAGCTTTAAATATATTTCTTTTTAATTATGATAGGCATTCTATATTCACTGAATATTCAAGGTAGAAGCAGCGAGAATGGTGAGGGTGGCTCCTTATATATACAAGGGGTGGAGCTAGGAATGGGAGTGGTAAGTTATGAATACATTAAAGTCCAAAGAATAAGTTAACCTCTGATGTTCCATATATACATTATTTACACATTGGAGAATAAGGCATTTACATCTGACAGTATTATTTTGGGGCGCGTAGAGCAAGATGGGGATCCTCTTGCCGTCTGCTCTGCGTTTAAATATTTTCAGGGAGGGCTTATTTTCGGGGGGAGGCTTATTTTAGAGCATGCACTCAAAAGCCCAATTCGGCTTATTGAGGGGATGTCTTATTTTGGGGGCAACAAGGTATTCATATTCCGCATCTTCCGTTGTGCGCTGAAGACTTCATTGTTTCAGCAAGCTGGCCTGACCGAATGAATTAACTTAAGTGGGTTTTAATGGTTTTAAAGGGGTTTTAGCTAGGGGTTTTAAATACGGCCAATGCTTTAAATTATTTTAAATTGTTTTTAATTTTTGTGTTGGTATTATTTTATCATGGCTGTACACCGCCCCGAGTCCTTCGGGAAAAGGGCGGTATAGAAATATAATAAATAATAATAATAAAATAATAATATTCCGGACGGACAGACTTGTTAGCCTGCATTGAGAGAGATACTTTTTCCTGGGGCCGCCGGCGCTCCTCATAAAGGAATCTTTTGAGTTCACTTCAGAGGGTTTGTCGTGTTTGCGGAGCTGGGTCAGAACATTATTAATTGTTACGGCAAAGAGCCGTATGGAGTTACTTAAGGGAATTTCCACACAGAATTTGGAGGCCGCGAGAACGTACTTGGCCTCAATGTCGGCTTTTTCCCGGACAGTTTGGGCCATCTGCTCCGTTTCGAAATATTTCTTCTTCCCCTTCGCTAAATCTTTGACAGTCTCCTGAAGTTCAGTCTGGATCCTAATCAGCTGGTCCACGCACTGAATAACAAAAAAACACAAACAGGGGGGAAAAAAATTGGTCTTTCATAAAAGTAGGATCTGCCATTAAGAGCTGGATTTATACAGGTAAGTCCTTGATTTACAACCACAATTGAGCCCCAAATTTATTATTATTTATTTATTTATTAGTCATATTTCTATGCCGCCCACTCTCCGAGGACTCTGGGCGGCTTACACCAAAGACAGTATATACTAAATAGCATATTGCCCCCCAACAATCTGGGTCCTCATTTTACCCACCTCGGAAGGATGGAAGGCTGAGTCAACCTTGAGCCTGGTGAGATTCGATCCGCTGATCTGCTGAACGAGCAGTCAGCTGAAGTAGCTGCAGTACTGCACTCTTAACCACTGCGCCACTTCGGCTCCTCATTTCCGTCGCTAAACCAGAGAGTTGTTAAGTGGGCTTTGGGCCCCATTTTGACGACCTTCCTTGGCCACGGTTGTTAAGTGAATCTGGCTTCCTTATTGACTTTGTTGGTCAAAGAAAAGTCGCAAAAGGGGATTACATGACCCCTGGGACACTGTGACCGTCATAAATATGAGTCAGGTTGGCAAGTGTCTGAATTTTGATCACGTGACCACGGGGGATGTCGTATCGTCGTACGTGTGGAAAAACGGTCATGAGTCACAATTTTCAGTGCTGTTGTAACTCTGAATGGTCACTAAATGAACTGTTGTAAGTCGAGGACTACAGTATTTGTACTCTAAAAGACCCATCCACACAAAAAACACACATGCACACTTTTGCTTATAGTCATATAAATAGGATTATTCCGAAGACAGGTATTTCCAGGGGAGGAACAGTGTTCAAATTCTGCCATGACGGCCATCTTGCAATCTGGATTTCTCTCCCGCTGCTCGAAGAGAGTCTCAGGCCTAAGTGAGTTGATGCAACACCAGCCTTCTGGAAATTTCTGTAGCTACGGACCTACACAGGCCTACACAGTTTCCAAAAATGCTGTTTGTTTTTATTAGCTTTCTAGATCTTGTTTGTTGTGACCCAGGCTCACTTAGTCATTTCAATTTAGTCTCAAACAAAACTGTTTTATTATAACAGCTGAGAATTACTTCATTCCTAGCTTAGTCCAAATCAATTCCAAAGTCTTTCGGGCTTATCACAAACCTTTATCTTCTTTGGCACCCTGCCAAAGGCCTTTCTTGGCAAAGCCCCACAAAGTTCAGAAACAAGAGATGCCGACTGGAAACAGATTTAGCAACGTTGCTTTCCTACAAAGAGCCCAAGAGCCTTTGCTGCTCTTTTAAGCCTTCTGGGAGGAGCCAATCAACTCCTAGCCTTACTCCCGAGTTGTCCTTTTTGCTTTAACTGCTCTTGTCTTCTGGCAGCTCTGCGCATGCGCGCACTGGGAACAGGCTCCTCCTGTTCCTCTGCCTCTCTGATGTCTGACTCTGGAGGCTCCGGAATCCGCACATCACTCCCAGATGGCCCTGGCCCCATCTCTACCTTCAACACAGAGCCCTCATCCGGGCCTTCTCCAGACTCCAGGACTGGCCCATGTTCCTCCCCAGCCTCCTCACTGTCCAACTCTACTGCCAGCTCTGCGGGCTGCTGGCGGACCATAACATTGTTCACCTTTCTGAAGATTCTGCAAATTTAACCCTGACACGTAAAATTAAAATGCAAGAGCCCAGGATAAAATGATTTTGAATAATGGTAACGTTAGCAAGAAAGGTTTGGTAGTACAGTGGTCTAAAGCACCCTGTTATTAAGAACAGCTGCCTGCAATTACTGCAGGTTCGAATCTCGCCAAGGCTCAAGGTTGACTCAGCCTTCCATCTTTTCTAAGGTAGGTAAATTGAGGACCCAGTTGTGGGGGCAATAAGCTGACTTTGTATAAATATACAAAAGAATGAAGGCTATTGCTTAGTGCATTGTAAGCCGCCCTGAGTCTCCGGAGAAGGGCGGCATATAAATCAAATTTTTTTTTAAAAAAAAGGTTAAATCTTGTATTAAAATTAAGCTAAGATGGCAGAAGGTCAACCAAGTCAAAGGTGGAAGAGGGAAGTTGTTCTTAAAATCACTGAGAAATAATTCATGTGGCTTTCTTTTTCTAGCACTGCGTTGCGCTCCTTGAGTAAGGACATAGTAAGCTGTGCCATTCTTTCAAATGCAAATATTTGCCAAAAGATGATTAGACTTGATGTTATATTTTCCTTTGGGCCACAGACACAAGACGCTACCTGACTTGCTGACTTGCTGTGTCGATTCCACAACAATTGCACAAAAGGGGAACTTTTGTGCCGAAATTAGCAGGGAAGGTCCAAGGAAGCAGAGGGCCACCTCTGATTTTGTGTTGGCGAAATTTATAATTCCCTTTAGCAATTTTTACAACCTGCGGGCTTCAACTCCCAGAATTCCCTAACCAGCATTGAATTCTGGGAGTCCTCGAAGTCCTCACCTCTTGGAAGCTGCCAAGGGTGAAAAATATCGCTCTAAAAAGAACCTTTTCACCCACTACATCATTCCTACAATAACAATAATAAAAAGCCATTTTTTCCTCCCTTGCTTAGCCTTCTCTCTGCAAGAAGCCACAAGGATCTCTCTGTGCTGGTTTTCTGGCCCGTTGCCTGGGAGTCCGTTTTCAGGACCGAGCTCCATTTCCGCTGCACCCTTAAAATCTTGGATAATTCCACGAATGTTTTCAGAAGGCACCGCGCCTAATATTCAAAGCCAACCCAAGCATAATTTGGAAAATTTCAAAGCCGCCTCCAAAGACGCTTATTTTTTTTTTTTTGCATTCTTGCAACCATCACGGGCTGTATTTAATTTCATTGACAAAGACAGTTCTTTTGCTGGCTGGCTGATAGCACACAGTGTGCCAGTCGTTGGAGCAAAATGCATGCCATATGGCTGATGATATAGGAAGGAAAGAAGGAAGGAAGGAAGGAAGGAAGGAAGGAAGGAAGGAAGGAAGGAGGGAAGGAAGGAGGGAAGGAAGGAAGGAAGGAAGGAGGGAAGGGAAAGGGAGGAAAGGGGAGGAGAGGGGAGGAAAGGGAGTAAGAGGGAAGGATGGATGGAAGGAAAAGGAGAAGGAAGGAAAGGAAATGGAAGGAAGGGAAGGAAAGGGAAGGAAAGGAGGAAGAGGGAAGGAAGGATGGATGGAAGAAGAAGGAGAAGGAGAAGGAAGGAAGGAAAGAAGGAAGGGAAAGGAAATGGAAGGAAGGGAAGGAAAGGAACAGGAAGGAAAGGAGGAAGAGGGAAGGAAGGATGGATGGAAGAAGAAGGAGAAGGAGAAGGAAGGAAGGAAAGAAGGAAGGGAAAGGAAATGGAAGGAAGGGAAGGAAAGGGAAGGAAAGGAACAGGAAGGAAAGGAGGAAGAGGGAAGGAAGGATGGATGGAAGAAGAAGGAGAAGGAGAAGGAAGGAAGGAAAGAAGGAAGGAAGGGAAAGGAAATGGAAGGAAGGGAAGGAAAGGGAAGGAAAGGAACAGGAAGGAAAGGAGGAAGAGGGAAGGAAGGATGGATGGAAGAAGAAGGAGAAGGAGAAGGAAGGAAGGAAAGAAGGAAGGGAAAGGAAAGGAAAGGAAAGGAAAGGAAAGGAAAGGAAAGGAAGGAAGGAAGGGGAGGGAAGGGAAGGGAGAGAGGGAGGAAGGAAGAGGGAAGGAAGGATGGAAGGAAGGAGAAGGAGAAGGAGAAGGGAGGGAGGAAGGGAAAGGAAGGGAAGGAAAGGAAAGGAAAGAAAAAGGGAGGAAGGGAGGAAGGAAGAGGAAAGGACGGATGGATGGAAGGAGAAGGAGAAGGAGAAGGAAGGGAAAGGAAGCAAAGGAAAGGAAAGAAATGAAAGGGAGGAGGAGGGGAAGGAAGGATGGAAGGAGAAGGAGAAGGAGAAGGATGGATTCTTCCAGAAAAGAATCTGTTCTTAGAGCTTATGCAAGGAATGCTATTATGGATGGTTGGGGTTTCGTTTATTAGTTATTGCAAAAGATTACCTGGGTCTCTCTCTTTTTGGCTTAATCAAATTTTCCAAACAAATCAAAAATTCCAACAAAATATAATATAAGAGCCAGATTTGGTCTAGTGGTTAAGGCACCAGGCTAGATGCCGGGAGACAGTGAATTCTAGTCCCGCCTTAGGCATGCAAATCGTCTGGGTGACCTTGGGCCAATCACCAGGAGACGGCGAGTTCTAGTCTCGCCTCAAGTAGAAACCTTTTTCCCGTTTTCTGGTTCCTAGCACGTGGTATTCAAAAGCACAATACCTAGATGTATGGTTCAGATGCAGGTAGTCCCCGACTTACGACCACAGTTGAGCCCAAAATTCCTGTTGCTAAGTGAGACATTTGTCACGTAAGTTTTGGCCCATTTTACCACCTTTTCTTGAAACAGTCGTTAAGTGAAACACCGTAGTTGTTCAGTTAGGAACACGGTTGTTAAGCGAATACGACTCCCCCTTTGATTTTGCTCGTCAGAACAAAACCCGTCGTAAGTACATGCCAGTTTCCAAGCGTCTGAATTTTGATCATGTCATCACAGGGATGCTTGCAAGGGTTGTTAAGTGTGAAAAACGGTCATAAGTCGCTTTTTTCCGGTGTCGTTGTAACTTCGAACGGTCACTAAGGGAATTGTCGTAAGCCGAGGACTACCTGCATTAGAAGCAGAATATACCAGCAGCTGCCCGTCATCATTTTCGAGGAAGGGGATTCCATCAATCAGGTCCCGTGTGAAAATATTAAGTTTGCCTTCCCTCTTCTGTCCCATCTGCCTGCCTTTCCATTCTTCCCTACTAAGAATGGAATAACAGAGGTGGAAGGGACCTTGGAGGTCTTCTAGTCCAACCCCCTGCTTGTACTGAAGAAAGGGGAAAAAAAGACACATTTCTATCTGTACCACTGACTGATTATCTGCCGTTAAGTTGATGTCAGCTCCCAGAGACCAGGTAGGTAGGTAGATCTAAAGCAGTGTTTCTCAACCTTGGAAGCTTGAAGATGGGTGGACTTCAACTCCCAGAATCCCCCAGCCAGCGCTGCTGGCTGGGGGATTCTGGGAGTTGAAGTCCACCCATCTTCAAGCTTCCAAGGTTGAGAAACACTGATCTAAAGATTCTTGTGGATCCCAAACGTAAGATATTGCAGGCGTCACGAGCCCCAAATCCTTCCTCATTTTTTTTTGCTTCTCATTTATTTATTTATTTACT